GTAGCTTCATTTATAAAGCACCTTCGCGCTAGAGAGGCGCATTACTTTCAACAAAAGACGAAAAAGCTTTAACTTCCATCCGAGCTAGAAAGCATTAAGAATGTTTGGAGCATGTACAATGCTCAAGCTCTAAATAATGCGCAAGTACGGCTTTTTTCATGGCATTTTTCGGACAAAGTTCAACCTTTCTTTTGGAACGCCACAGACAGACGTGTGTTCAGTATGCCTGAGAAATGCACACTACCTGAAAATGGTCTCCGACCCTGTACAGAAGCAAAAAGCAATCGCGGAGCAACGTGTGCACGAATTGAAATACAAGGCGTTCTACGCTCTCTTGAAGGAAAGATGAACAAACCTGATGACCCTTTCCTTCGATTGCCAGCGAAACCCAAGCGATGCCTCAAATTCCTGGCCAGCAGCTATACTACAGCCGGCAACTTTACCAATACCACTTCTGCATGGTACAAAATCAAGAAGATAAGTCAGTGCCCAAGCATGGTGTTCACTGTTATACTTGCAGTGAGGACGAGAGTGCCAAAGGAAGCAATGAGGTGGCCAGCGCTCTGCACAGCTCACTTCGAAGCCTCAGCTACAAGAGAGTCCAAGAAGTTCATTTGGCAGCCGACAGCTGTGCTGGCCAGAACAAAAATTCCACCACGTTAGAGATGCTTCTCTGGTGGCTAAAAAATGAAGTTCCTGCTCAGGTGTTGAAAACCACTCTAGTATTCTCTGTCACTGGTCACAGCTTCTTGCCGCCTGACCGAGTCTTCAGTAGGATTGAGAAAGACACAAGGAAGCATGAAGAAATACTGAACCCAGATGCCTACAAAAATATTTTTGCAGAACATGGCACAGTTTTGAAGCTTGGAAAGCACTGGAATGTCTACGACTGGAATGCCTATGCGATGCAAGTATTGAAGCCCACATTGAGCCTGCCCTTTAAGATTAGCATGGTTAAAGTTTTTTATATGCAGCTTAACGCCAACAGACGAAGCCCAGAAGTTCGAGCAGAGCCACATTATAGGTTCTCTGTGTCTAATTTTGTTCGAGTGCTGCAAAAAGGAAAGGATTTGTCAGGTGCCCCAGAGAGGTGTGGTTTGCAACTGGCCAACTTGAACCCCCTCAAGGTAAAAGACGTTATGGGTCTCCTCGTTAAACATTTCGCAGAGTGGTGGCAGCAGCATGAAGAGCTCAAGTATTTTTCCAATGTTTTCAGCAGATTCCAAGACCAAGAAAGGGGAGTCGACAAACAGGAAGAGTGCGCGTGTTGCCAAGAAGACACTCCTGTCCACATCTAGACCTGGTCTCTGCACCCAGTGGCCTCTCTTCTAACACAACAAAGGATTGCAGCTAGAAAATTAGAATTTTGTTTTTTCTGAGTTGCAGAGACTTGCATCAATAAAAGTTTTTTTTTTTTTTTTTTTTCAAAATGGGCCAAATACTATGCGACGAATCTATTTGTGCCAGATCCAAACTTCAACGATTCATATCTGGCAAAATAATCACGTCACCTTTTATTTCAATGTTCCCATAAAATCTTTTGGTGACATGCGTACTATGACAAAAACATTTATTCAGCAGGTGCCACTGTTCTATCAGTACAGTTTTACTTAAAGTGGACTTGGCTCTTTTAGAAAAAGAACTCCTCAGGTGCTTCTTTCGGTATTCCAGTTAACGTGCCTTTCTCCAGGATATACAAGTATGTAGATATAGCTTGCGAAATGCTGTGCTGTCTCATTGAGGGTGCGGCAGTGTACGCCGCAGGCCACATTGTTAAATCCCAAGTAGGTTGTCACCGTAGATCGCAACACCATCACAGCTCTGGTCCTGCAAACAAGTAGACTTGCGAACTTGCCACATAACGTCTCCATAGCAAGCGAGTTCGTGATGAATAATGATCACTCAATTTCTCTGGAACAAACGAATATATTTTTTCTCTGCGGTAAACGCAGTGCAATGGTGAAGTACTGCTCTGTGCCTCGCCTGTGGAAAGTGGGTTAGCTTTCACAACTATGCTAATGAGAAGGGCAGGCGTGCCCTTCTCCTCAGGGTGTTTTTTTCTGCAGTGCATCGCTAGTGCCAGTGAAAATGAGTAAACTTGTTATAATTGCCGATTCATTCTGGCATTCACAAACAACACGAGATAATTACTGTAGGGCAGCTGTTTAAATTGCTGCAATGGCAGTCAATCGATCATTCACAGGATTTGCTAGAAATGCAAAGTAGCGCAAAATTACCAAATTTTGGATATTCATGCACAGAGTGCCGTCATGGTCACCGGCAGAGTTTCGCCTTGAAGGTGCAAGCTCGTGTTGTTTTGCAGAAATGAAAGGGGGGGGGGGGAGGCAGCTTGAGGGGCAGGTGCTTGTAGGGCTGGGGGAGTGGGCAAGTACCGCCTTGCTGCGCCCCTTCGCCGACGAAAAATGACTACAGTTTGTCCCAGTTATGTTGGTTCAGTGAGAAATTTATTCTGACGTATTTCCTTTTAATATTGCACAAGGACATCACTTCGGGATCAGAATATAACAAACACTCATCGCTAATTATATATCTCGCACACAGGACTGCAGAGATTAACATGGCAAACGTGGGCTAATCGAGTTTCTGTTGATGCAAAAGACATAACGAAAAGCTTAAGGAGCTCCAATTTTTAAGAAATGTCTGCACATCCTGAGATGAAAACCTTTATACAATGTGCACTAAACAACTGCAGCAGATTTCGCTTATGAATTCATAATAAGTGGTGCATAGGCATGCGGCTGTCTTCCTAATTTAACTATGTATGTACATACAGCCACCAAATTAAGCCATAATCGCAGATATCCAGCGCAGTTCAGCTGCAGTGAGATGATTCGGTAGCCCCGTCCTTGGTTCTCTGTCTAGGAGCCTTGGCGGCAGTTTTCAGGATGGCATCGAACTTGGTGTAAGTCGTTTATGCTTATAGCCTGCACACATGTACCGGCTGAAGTACTGGTGAGGCACTCAAACACAATTATAAGCTTACTGAAAAGTGGCCCATATGGCAGGTGTAGCAAGCCACTGTCAGCAAAGGGCTTGCTGCACACAGTCGATGAAGGCGTGGAGTGCTTTCCCATTCGAGCTTGACTATCTACTTCTTCTTCAGTTTCAAGTCCTTAGGACAGTTCTGAAAGCCAACGCCCTTTTCACGGGCACATGAAGTACAAGGAGGCACACAGCAGTACTTTACCATTGCACAGCACTCGCCGTGGAGACAAGTAGCCACAGTTCTAAGAAACGAAGAGCTTTACTTCCAAAATGAATGTCAAAAGTGAAGACCCACAGTTCTTTGAACAGCGTCAGTAGCCACCACACACAAGACAACCACTGAACTGCTTCGGCGTTAAGTTTTACCACAACGGTGGTTTCCACATGGCGCTGGGCCTACATAGCAGACAACAGCACGAATTCCCGCTATGACGTCATGCAGGCACGGTTCGAAGCGCCGACATCAGTCACACACCAGGCGAATACCGGATTGTGTGTACGAAGTATTGTAAATTTTAAAACCTAAAGTATTTTATAAGTTATCACTAGCACTTTAACCGAAGCTACTATTCAAAGTTATTTCCACATCCTTTTAACGAAGAAGAATAGCACTTCCACAGGCCTTGTTTCAATTTTTAATAAGTACTGTGCAGGTTAGCTGAGTCCCGACTTATTTGCCCATTTTTCTTCATAATAGGTGATATATAATATTCAAAGAATAACAACTGTACTTCGGAAACAGCGAAAGAGTTAACAAGTGAATTGTATATTACGTGCTGTATCAGAGTCATATTTCACAATAACAGGTCTTTAGAAGGCTTGCTTGACAGTACAGTGCAGTCCACTTATAACGATCCCACATATAACGATATATCGGTTATAACGATGGGTCGACTTAACAGTCTCATTTTATGCATTGGGGCTATGGGGAAAAAACCCATATATAACGATATGTTATCCACCGCATATCGGATACAACGATGAAAAGTTTGCCGTGGACGGCATGTTTCATTCAGAATAATCGTAACATTTAGATTGATAAGTTCCTCTGAAACGAACTATGCCGAGACAAGACGAAAAGTTAGCGTAGGCGAGTACGTATCTGCCGCCACTGCAGCACAGCGCCGGCAGCGCGTCCCGGCCGTTCAAAAAGCCGAGGAGAGCATCGCGAGTTGGCGCGACGCGCTACAGATGGCGCCAGCTGTGTCACGTTTTGCGCCTCGCCGCGCGTCTACCGCGGAGAGGCTGAGAGAATTTAAAAAAAAAATGCGAAAAGCAAAGCGCCGCGCTCCGCGGCTCCCCGCCTTCTACAACGGCAAGCCGGCAAGCTACTCGTAGCTTGCCGAACCAAAGCGGGAAAGAGAGAGAAAATAAAAAAAGCGAAAAGCAAAGCGGCGCGGCGGCATCGGGGCGGGGCCTCGTTGGCATTCCGGCTGTGTACCTCTGGCTGTGCTTTCTTCCTCCCACTGCTCCCACCCCGCCGTCGGTCAGTCTCTCTTCCTCAGCGAACCCGTGATGCCTTCTTCGGAGTAAGAAATAAAGTCTTGTTTTTGACATCCTACTATCTACAATATTTATTATTTGGTGAAAATAGCGAAATGAAGCCTGGAGCTACAAAAGGTACGTCCGGCGACGATTTTTTGGTGGCAGTCCAGATATAACGATCACCGGTTATAACGATCATATTTTTAGGTTTTCTCGATATCGTTATAAGTGGACTGCACTGTATCTGAAGTCATTTGTAACTGATAGTCTCTCGAGCGAATTCCAGCAGCACACCTTGCAGTGCCTCACAAGTGTTGCTGGTACATTCAGGAAAAACAAATGTGATATGGGTAAAATACTTGCAAGACGTGACTACTGCCACTGTACAAGAGAGTCTGTTCCACTGAGGTCTCTTCCGGCAAGAGAATATGGTATGTGCAAACACAGGGCACGCTTGTGCCACTCTATCCAACACTAACCTGCAGCACTGAAAGCGTGCTGAGGAAGAATGCAGCTCCACGGTGGTGGCAGCTTGCACACACACATACAAGAGCGATTTCCCAGTAAACCCAAACCTTTCGCCTGAGGGTGCTCCGAGGTCTCTGCCCATTCCGAAAGGTTCTCGAGCAGAAGGGGGCACGGCAACAGTCGACTGCCACATGTGCAAGGTCCGCCGTTCTCCGCACCAAGATGTTTTAGCAAGTCTGTAGGCAGTAATCACAGATGACACGGCAAGGTCTCTGCCAATTTTACCAGCGTGCCTTCGTCCGTGGGCGTGACGACCACAAGAAAGGCGACACTATGACAAACGGCAATAACGCGACGAGCAGTCCTGCTGCTGCCCTATAGCGTGTGTGTGTGTCTGTGTGTATATATATATCTCTCCTTCTAGGAGGCCAGCAATGATTGGGAGGTAGGCGCGGTGGTGTGTATAGCGTGACATCATCACAGTGAGCCCCCTAACGGTCACCTGCTGAATGGAGTCCTTGCCCACAGGCGTGAAGGAGCGTCGTGGAGCTTGGGTAGCACGGACAACGCATCCCTTCAGGCAGGGTGATGCCATGCGTAGGGGGCGGTACCACAGGGCATAGGCACCTGCATGGTGTGGTAATGCTCGTGGTGGTGGTGATGGTGGTGCAGGTGCTGATGCTGGAGGTGCGGCGGCGGCTGGTGCTGATGTGGCTGGTGATGCTGCTGCTGGTGATGGTGCTGGTGATGGTGCTGGCTCTTAGCGCCGACATCCCCGGGAGACAGGGATGGTGAATAGCCCAACGAGGCATATGTGGGGGCCTCGCCATGCTCATTCTTCACAATGTCTGGAATCTGTGGAGAATGGGTGAAAGAAAACAGTCACAATTAAAAAGAAGAAATAGAGAAAATGGGCAATAAGAATTCTTTGCAATTAATGAAACACACAAGAGTGATATTAAAAATCACTAAAGAATTCTTTGCAATTAATGAAACACACAAGAGTGATATTAAAAAGCACTAAAGGTGGAATTAGTCTGGCTTATTCTGCCCCCTAACCTCCCATTTCTTTTATATATCTACCACCTCTATTGCAACAAGTCCTACAAGATGCAGCGACCTCGGCAATTTTCAATACAAATGAAAAGCACCCACTGCATAACAGTACACTGCCCAAAAGGTATCATCACGGACAAAGAAAAGAAAGCCGAGCACAGTTCTTTGAATCGGGCAAGTCATCGGTAGCAAACAAAGCAAAAAGTTTTCGTTGTCACTCGCACATCCTCAAGTTTTCACATCTAATACTACAATAGCGCAACAACAGGATCCAACACCCTAACAGACCATATGTTGAGATTTCGGCACAAACAAAAAAAATTGCACAATGTGTGATGAACACAAGCAGAAGGCAATTTCTGCAAATGATAAATTGCAGTTTTTTAAGTGCCTCACGAAATTGTGAGATGATAAGCAGAAACCTAATGAAGTAGACTCATCACAGTCATATGTGCATATGTGATGATTTTTCAAAATTCACAACATACAGCTACCTTCAAATGCCTTTTGCTAACACTAATCCTAAGACTATCCAGGTTTTCGTGTAAGCTACGTATAATTCTCAGTTTAAAAACAGTTTTGTTGCTTCTGACATGTTTTTTATATGATAATTACTTCAGAAACAAAACAGCTTACATATATATATAATCAAGAAATAAAGAAGCACACTTACTAAAATTGGATTATTTTTACTCTACGTTACGGCCGCGCCACGGCCGCAACGTAGAGTAAAAATAATCAATTTTAGTAAGTGTGCTCCTTTATTTCTTGATTATATGTGCACCAGACCCACAGAACGTTTTTTTTTAATATACCGTATTTACTCGCATAATAGGCGCACTTTTTTTTTTAGAAAATCCGGCTCGAAGTTAGGGGTGCGCCAATTACGCGGGGTAAAATTTTCGAAAATTTTTTCAACTCGGTTCTCGCGCTTTAAATCTGCACACTTGTCAAGTAAAAGGCGGCTTCATCGTTTACCAATTAATTCAGCATAAAACGAACATACCTACGTACCTTTTAATGAACAAGCGAGAGCCGTCAGCTGCACACACACACGTAAAATTTCTTTACACAAAAGTCGTAGCTGTTCCTCCTTTTCCCTATTCGGAGTCCGAGTCGGAGATCACACATTCATCCTCGCCGAGCGGGGATTCGTTTTCGGTGTCCGAATCATCCGCACCCCACAACATGTCATCTTCACTCGCATCCAGTGCGTTCGAGATACCCGTCTTCTTGAAGCTTTTCCTGACGACTTCGTCGGAGATCGCCTGCCACGCTTCCATGATCCAAGCGCACAGCATTTCCACAGGCGGCCTCTTAATCTTACCACCTGTAGTCAGCTGATGTTGTCCTCCAGCCATCCAGGTGGTGTACAGCCTTCGAACATTGTCCTTGAAAGGTTTATTCAAGGACACGTCCAAAGGCTGCAGTATCGATGTGAGGCCGCCCGGAATCACTGCCAGATCTGTGCGCAGCTCCTTTAGCTCATCTCGTACGCGGTCTACTAGGTGCCCACGAAAACTGTCCAGGACAGGCATGGACGGCAACAACAAACCACCCGGCCGCCGACCCCAGACTGTTTTCACCCAATCCACCATGAGTTCCGCGCTCATCCAGCCTTTTTCCTGGACTCTGACGTAGATGCCTTGAGGGAATTTTGCCTTTGGGAGCGTCTTACGTTTAAAAATAACGTAAGGCGGTAGCTTACACCCATCCGCTGTCACCGCCAGCATTACGGTGCATCGTTGTTTATCAGCGCCAGACGTTCTGACCATGACGCTCCGTGCACCTTTCTCCTCCACTGTCGTGTTCCACGGCATATCAAAGCGAAGGGGGGTCTGATCAGCGTTGCCGATCTGGGACAAAATGAAGTCCATCCGGAGCTGGCTTTGAACTCTTTTGCTTCGATGCCCTGCGCTCGGGCTATTCTGCGCGCCTCAGTCTGCACAATATCCAACGACACAGCACAGCCGTCTTGTTGTAGCTCCCGTATATGCCGGACCAGTTGCTCTTCAACGTTCGGATACCTGCCGGTCTTGGCACCGCAGAAAGCCCGTCGTGTCTTCTTCGTCGCCTTAAGTTTTTCTTCTTGGTCCCTCCAGTACCGAATACTGGTTTCTTCAACGCCGAAATGCCTGCTTGCAGCCCGGTTGCCGTGCTCCAGCGCGTACTGCACTGCCTTCAGTTTAAACCCAGCCGTGTAGCTCGCGTACTTCCCCATGGTGGAACCAAAGTTCAATACACGACCACAACATACGCACACCGCTTGCAAAATGGCATTTCTTTCTTTTTCTCTGATGGTGGTGATGGCGATCGAGCCCCCGGCGTTGTACACGTGACCTCCAAAAAGCGCGGCGATTTGGGGGGTATCAGTAATTGATGGAACAGCCGTTTTTTTTTTTTTCGCTCATGGACGCTTTTTTTCTTTTTTCAAGTTTTATTTCGACAAACACGTTGGTTAGGTCGTTGCACTTCGAATTTTTTTTATTTGCTCGTCAATTTGCCTTCTTTTTTTTCTTCAGGGTATGGGGACCGCGTTCCAACTGTACCGCTGGGGGGTAGAATCGTTTTTGATCACGGCCAAGTTAGGGGTGCGCCTATTATGCGCGGAATTAAAAAAATCGAATTTTCCGCGACCAAACTAGGGGTGCGCCTATTATGCGAGTGCGCCGATTATGCGAGTAAATACAGTATATATATAAATATGAAAGTATATGCGCTTTCACATAACAACTGTTTATTGTGCCGACGTTTCAACGGGAACCCCGTCTTTTTCAAGGCATAGTAGTATGCCTTGAAAAAGATGGGGTTCCCGTCGAAACGTCGGCACAATAAACGGTTGTTATGTGAAAGCGCATATACTTTCATATTTATAACCTTGCTGCAACCGAAGTTATTCTTCTGCATATATATATATATATATATATATTGTGGTGAAGCCTTTGAACAGTGGGTCGTCCTCTCCAGCGCCTTCTAGTGGGTTGCCCTTTTTAGCAAGAAGAAGAGCAGCTCGTGCAGAGAGTCGGTACCCGCATTGACTGTCACTGTCAAGCATCGTCGACAATCGTCCGCCAATAAACGTCTCAACAATTTGGTGGAGAGTGCTGTGCCCTTCTAACACCTTCGGTTAGCATTTGATGCCCCTGGAGCTACGATCCCGCACCGTGCCTCCTACCATGCACCAAGACGCCGCACAGCAAACGCTTCCTCCTGCGCCGACGCCATGTTCCGGTGTTCCCCGCATCCGGGACCCTCCTGTCTTTACTGGCGCGGATGGCACCGACGTCGAGGACTGGCTTGCTATGTACGAACGCGTCAGCGTCCCCAATCATTGGGACGAGGCAGGTAAACTCGGCAACCTGGTTTTCTACCTCGCGGGTGTGGCCGGCATGTGGTACAGCAACCACGCATCCGATTTCCCCACTTGGTCCGCTTTTAAAACCGCCGTCGTCGACGTGTTCGGCCGTCCTGCCGTTCGTAAGCTCCAAGCCGAACAGCGGTTACGTGAACGAGCACAGCAGACCGGTGAGTCCTTCACAAGCTACATAGAGGACATCCTTGACTTGTGCAAGAAAGTGGACGCGAGCATGTCAGAGGCCGACAGAATTACCCATGTTCTAAAAGGCATCGCCGACGATGCCTTCACCATGCTCCTGGCCAAGAACCCTCGCACTGTGGCAGAGATCATTACACTTTGCCAAAGTTACGAGGAGCTGCGACGGCAGCGCTCGATGACCCGTCGACCACCCTCACGTGACGCTGATCTCTCGGCCTTGTCAACACTTCCGGACCACACCACCTTGCTTGCTGAAATCAAGTCATTCGTGCGTGAAGAAGTTGCCCGCCAGGTCTCTTTACTGGCCTTTGCTTCCCCGCAACGTGCTGAACAGTCGTCAAGCACACTTCTGCCTCCCCTCCGCCGAGCCATTCAGCAGGAAATCGCGGAGGTCGTTCCAGAATATCACCAGCCGACTCCAGTATCTACACCACTCAGTTACGCCCAAGTTGTCGCCAGGCCACCCCCACCGATTCCTGTGACTGGCCCTCTTGGTTACACCGAAACCATCGCCAGACCCCAGGCCTTCGGAGAAACTGTGCCGCCTACATATACCGACGTCATCCACGTGCCCCGTGTGCCGCCCACTATGCAGTTATATCAGCAGCCGGCTCGCCCATCGCGTTCTTCGACATGGATGGGACCCGCGAACCGATGGCGCACTGCGGACAATCGCCCCATCTGCTTTGCTTGTGGTTGCGTTGGGCACGTAGCACGCTACTGCAATCGTGTGCAGCGACCGCAAGTCGCCTCCAATTTTCCCAGCCAATCGAGCCGCTTCTATGACCAACCGCCACCTACGTCACCGTCGTCCCGCCCCGCTCCATCTACCCGCCGCTCACATTCTCCACGACGTCGCTCACTGTCGCCGATGCGGCCACGTCCACTAGAGGGTGACCAGGAAAACTAGTCGTCGCAGTCCACGAGGCAAGGGCTGTGACGCTGTCGAACTGCGGAAGCCCTCAGGAAAGACCATCGAACGTGATAGACGTGCTTGTGGATGGTGTTCGTGCATCTGCCCTTGTAGATACTGGAGCCGCCGTATCCGTGATGGACGCAAAGCTTAGCCGATTACTGCGCAAAGTGACCACGCCACTTTCCGGGCTCTCCCTCCAAACAGCCAGCGCCCAAAGCATTCACCCTACAGCGATGTGTGCAGCCCGCCTCATGATTCAGGACGTGATGTATGCCGTTGAATTCATCATAATTCCTTCATGCTCTCACGACGTCATCCTAGGATGGG